CACCTGAGCATATCTTGAACTGTTTAGGGGTGGACTGGAACAACATTCATTCCTCTCCCATTCTGGTTTTGGATTTTCTTAATGTCAACGGTTTTATTGATATGGTCTGACCCCGTCAGACCAGATGGGAGTTAGCAACAACAACAACCCTAACAAATAATTTTAACTGGTCTTAAACATTTTTAGTGCTTAAAAGAGTATTATCTAACTTAAAGTTAAAACTAACTAATTGCCAGTAAATAAGACAACAGTTAATTTAGTTAAATTTTACATACATGAATAAATTATGTATTTAACAGTCAAAAACAAAAATAAAGAAAAGAAGTAAAAGAGTAATCAGCTTACCTTTAAACAAGCTATAAATTTCAATTGTTGTGCCATAATATCAATACAAAAAGCTTTAGAGTCGTTTTTCTTCACTTCTAAAGAAATAAGAAACATTCTTAAACATACATTTCTTAAGCAAAAATATATTAAAAAATAACTTTAAAATTAAATATTGTTCTGAAAACTCAATAATTATGCAAATAGAAAGTCCCTTTTCGAGTTCCACGTAGCAGAACCCTTTTTCTATTGATTTTGGATTTAAAATCGATTTGTTGGAAAGAAAATTTCAGCCTTTTTGCTTGACCTCCAGGGGCTTAAAACATTTTAGTAAATTAAACTTAAGATGTTTGTTCAGATATATACCACCCTCAGATGGACTTTACTGTATAAGGCATTCTATCTAACAAGAAGAATTAGTTTATTGCTGCATCTCAATGAAGTTAAAATAATATGAAAAAGGGAAAAATCTAAGCAAATTCTAATCTATCTGTATTCTAATCAAGATTTTTAAAGTTAAAAATTTTAAACAAATAAAAGAGTTTTAAAGAATACCACGGTCTCAACTTAGAGAGTAAGAGACAGAGCTTTTAAAGATTGATATATTATTATTTAATCATATTTCATCAATATTTTCAATAATAGTAATAAAAAAGTTGCTACTAAAAAGGGTAATTAACGACTCTTGTTCTTGTATAATACTGATTTTAAAATTATTATACAGTGAAACCTCCAGGAAGGACCTCTGTGTAGCAACCTTTTAAATTTATAACCACTTTTAGGAGACACAGAATTTTTTCTATAGACTTTGTGTTCAAGAAAACCTTTAGGAGCGACCATGAAAACCTTCAAAATAAATAAATAGATTAAAATTCAATGCAAACTTCAGTAAAATCATAATTGTATATTTATTTAAAATAGTTCTATTACTCCTAATTGATATATTTGTTTTGACACATAATTATATCAGTAGGAGTCATTTTTATTGAAGCTAAATTTTATTCATNAGGAGTCATTTTTATTGAAGCTAAATTTTATTCATCGATCCGCAACACAAGTGGCTATTTTGCACCAAGAAAATTACACTGAATGAAATTAAAATGGCATACGAAAAATCATATACCTTTGATAACATTTTGAAGTTAATGGAGATAACCCCTAATAAGTAAAAGAACGACCAATCTCCTTAATGATCATTTTACTAAAGAACAGAGAGTGGTCACTCCCGAGAGGTTAAGTGCTTAAATTCTCTTCTCCACCCAAAAGTACACATTTTTCTTAATATGATGCTCTTGTTTGAAAAATGTAAGATTGCCATTTTATTCACATGTTGATCAAATCTGTTATTAATCACTTTAATTCTGTAAATTTAATAAAATACATTTAACATTTGCTAATAGATATGATTATAAAATACAAACTTTAAAAACTGATGAATACAAAAAATTAAATGAATGAAATTAATTTTTGAAAGAAAAAAAAACAATACTGTATTTTATTTACCACAATAAAATTTACAATCAATAGATTAGTTTAAATAAAAGAAATTATAGGAAAACTTTATCATGCTAAAAGAAATTTCTGTTAGAAAGGAAATATTCTTAATTTTCCTACTTCAAATATTTCAAAAGAAAAACTTAATGAAAATTTTATTACACACCTTCACTGGGTATTTCAGATGGTTTAATTTCAATACCATCTTCAGATTCTTCATCATCACTGATCTTCAAATCAAGATCCAGTTCCAACTCAGGTTCTTTTGGTTGGAACGCTGGAGTACCCCAGTCGAAGTCTGAAGAGCTATTTTGATTGGATGTTGATACGGGAGCTCCCCAGTCAAAATCAGCTGATGATTCCTTCTTATTGCTTTCCATACTCTTACCGACTTGCACTTTAGGAGTTGCATCAGAAGCAAATGTACCAGTTGCAATCACATCATCACTGTTTTTAAGTACATTTGCAAAATCAAATACAGCATCATCAGGAGACATGGGCCCATCTGTTAAGACTCGGTTTGGCAGACGAGACAAAACTTCAAGAGCTAAAGCAGGGCAACCAGCTCGGAAGTGAGCATGAGCAGTTGTAAAAAACAGCCTACGTTCCAAAGGTG